AATTTCAACATATTCCTCCTCAAAGACAAAGCCTGTAACCCTTTCTCCCCCCGCAAACTCAACATCCTCAAAGAACCTAGCATTTCCTATCTCGAAAATTGCCTTAGTTGTGGGATTATAAAACTTGTAACCCCTGGACCTTTCAGAATATCCAATGAAATAGCAATTGATGGTCCTTGCGTCCAGTTTCTTTTCATTTGGCTTATAGGGCCTTGCCTCAGCTGGACACCCCCAAATATGTATATGCTTCAAACTAGGCTTCTTGCCCGTCCAAAGCTCATATAGGATTTTATCAGTAGCCTTAGTTGGAACTCTGTTGAGTATATAAGCTGCAGTCTTTAATGCTTCACCCCAGAGAGACTCTGGTAAGGTAGAATGACTAATCATACTCCTCACCATGTCCTTAAGCGTTCTGTTCGTCTTTCAGCAACACCATTCATAGTGGGCGAACCCGGCATAGTGTACTGTGGGACGATACCGCATTCTTCTAGGAATTTAGCAAATGGTCCTGGACGCTGTTCACCTGAACCGTCATATCTGCCATAGTATTCACCCCCACGGTCAGATCTGACGCTTTTAATCCTTTTGCCGAGTTGGTTCTCAACTTCAGCTTTATAGTTTTTGAACACATCCAGTGACTGTGATTTTTCATGAATGAGATATATGTAGCCATATCTTGAAAAGTCATCTATGAACGTTATAAAATATTGTTGACCATTCCAAGAACCCGTAGGGAATGGTCTACAAATATCCGTATGTATAAGTTCTAAGACGTACAAAGTCCTATTGACTTGAAATCTCCTTTTATTGGTTTGTTTTCCCTTTATACAGTTGACACACAAATCATAATCTATGAAGTCAAGAGGGTCGAGAATCCCGTCAGACACAAGTCTCTCAATTTTCCTTTTGGAGATATGACCTAATCTCTTGTGTCACAACGAGGCAGAATTCTCGTCGTTTAATTTTCGCTTTACACCTCGAGTACTTACATGCAAGGTTTTATTAAAAGAAGCAATTGTATCAATTGAATAAAGATTATCGTAACATGATAAAGAACCGGAACCAACCAATTTTGAATCATGAAACAAACTAAATTTTCCATTTCCAAAAGAACAAGTATAACCAAATTTGTCCAAAACAGAAATAGAAATCAAATTCCGTCTAAAAGACGGTACAATAAATGTCTCAACAAGATCCAAATAAAATCCAGCCTTTAACAATAATCTAAATTTTCCTATTGCCTCTACTTCCATTCTATTGCCGTCGCCAGCATAGATGTATTTTTCACCATCACTTGATTTTCGGCAACTCAGGCAACCCTGCATAGACATACTAATGTGAGTTATTGCACTAGAATCTATCTACCATGTATGTCTAGGTACCGAAGTTAAATTAACTTCAGAACAAACCAAATGAAGAAGAGTACCTTTCTTTACACGCCATGCGTGGTAATTGGTGCAATTTTTCTTCTTATGACCTGCAGCTCCACAGAAGAAACAACCGCCTTCAGTTGGTTCCTTATGCTGTTTCTTTTGCGGTGCCGTACCTGTAGCTTCCTTATTAACCTTCCTTTTCTTGTTGCTTTTGTCCTTAGAGGTGGTGGCTAAATGAGCACTTTCTGTCTTTTCATGTTTCAGTCTTTCCTCTTCCTGGACACAGTGTGAGATGAGCTCATTAAGGGACCATGAATCCTTTTGACAGTTATAGCTCACCTTGAATTGACTGAAATGTGCCGGAAGGGATATCAGAACCAAGTACACTAACAAGTCTTCAAATAAATCCAATTTGAGTGCCTTTAGTTTTGAAGCAATGTGAGACATTTCCATAATGTACTCCCGAATGTTTCCTTTCCCTTTA